CAATTGTAAATTCATGACTGATTTTTGGGTATGGAGGCAAGAACCATGGACATGAGATTAGGCCATGATCCTGGATTCTTGCTGAACCAAAAGCAGAGCATAACAATTGCTGCGTCTTGCTGTGTTCTGCTCACAGCGAAGGAGAAAATGTTCTATGGTGCGGCTAAATAGTGCTAAACACCTAGTCCTATTATGCAAACTCATCTGATAATATCAGTGCCAAATTGATGATATTATTGAATATTTAGTGACTTTCAAACCCCAACTAAGCAAGCCAAAGGCAACAGTAACAAGACTCCATCTTCTTGAGGCCTCATCTCACCAAGGTCTTCGCTGACCGTGAAGGGGCTTATTGTGGAGGCGAGCACACTAACAAAGGTGCTAAACAGCTTTTACTTGTTGGTCTCTGTTACACTAGCACAAGCTGGTTAGATGGTCATTGTTCCAGGTAGACTAGGTTGTCCAATGTAACCCTGATGGTGACCAGCCAAAACCCCAAAACCAACTTGAACGTTCCCAAAACATACCTCATACTGTTCAATAAGATGGTTTTGATAGGTTATTTAAGATAATTAACAGCAGAACCTGTTATGGTCTTGGCCTGAGGTGTCAAATCCTGCTCCTGGAGGGCCACCTTCTAGAGTTTAGCTCCAACCCCAAATAAACGCACCTGAACCACAAAATCGAGGTCATGGGATCACCTGAAACTTCCACACAAGTCTGCAGGAAGGCATCGGACATCCCCGGTCATTCCCAGCAGTGAAAGACTTATTCTATAGATCAGGGTTGTCAAATCCTGCTCCTTGAGGGCCACTATCATGCAGAGTTTAGCTGCTACCCTAATTTGGCTCCAGTCAGTTAATCAAGGCCTCCAGAATTACCTGAAAACTAATTCTGGCAGGTGGCAGGGGAAAGGCAGGTACGTTGGAGCCAGTGTTAATTTCGTCAACGAAGACGACTACGAAAAATATTCGTTAACAAATTTTTTTTTTCTGTGACTAAGACGAGGCGTTGATGAGCTAAAACTAATAACTGATGATAAAAACTGTGACAATTTATGCCGCGTCTTCGTTAACAAGACGCGACGGGACTATAATGTTATTTGAGGAATACCGGACATTCTAAATACATCCTATAGGCTACTGTCTTGTCCTTCAAAATGTGCGTCCCAGTCATTGGATTACAATCGGATAAGGTGCGTTTGCATATCTAGTCTCAGTATGGCAGCCGCAGTTGATGGATAGGCTACCAAAATGCGAACTAGCGATCTGAAACAATGGCCTCAGCACCCGAAGGGGTAGGGAATAAGGTGACCAGACGTCCCATTTTTCCCGGGAGTCACAATTCGTTGTCGATTAACTTAAAGTTAGTGAAGGCGGGATAGGCAGAATCGAGCTGATAGAAGTGTTCTCTCTCGCGCACGCTCCACTTCTTCAGTTCTCATATACAGTGCGCGATCAGTTCTCAGTGCTCAAATACACACGCAGCAGTCCAAATGTCTATCGTGTAGAGTATCTCACGTAAATACAGTCGGTTATGGATTAAGTGAACGTAAACAGGTGGGTGAAAACTGAACGTGTCAGTATTACATGCATGCCTTCCGTCTTAAAGGGACAGCATTCCTAATTAAGTACCTGTCTGTGTCATTAACGTTAACCAACAAAAGATGTTAAATATATATGTTTAGTAAACCTACTGTATCTGAAAAATTTGTTTAATTTGTACCTCTTTAGTATTTGTCTTATTCTGCTTTTTCAAAAATTATATATTATATATGAACAATAATTTTTATATGTTGCTCCCTTTTCACTACTGTTAAAGGGATAGTTCACCCAAAAATGAAAATTGTCATCATTTATTCAAGTTTTTCCAAATTCAATCCTTGATTCAAATTTCTCATAAGCTTAATTGATTTGGTCTAAAGAGAGAAGAATGAATGACTATTTTTGTTTGAAGACTACATATAAAATAGCTACTAAAAAATAAATGTTAGTTACTGCAGTTTGACTAAAATAATGACTAATAGTTGACAAAAATGCAATGACTTTTCATCAACTAAAACTATGAAAGACACAACTGACTAAAATGTGACCAAGACTATTAAGCATTTTCGTCTCAAGATAAAGACAAATACTAAATCAAAAATGCCAGTCAAAATGAACACTGGTTGGAGCAGCGTCACATTTAAACTCTGCAGGGCTGAGTTTGAAACCAGAGTAACTCAGGCCTGAGTTTGTTTACCAGAGTAAACATTTACCACAGGACATTGTGTCGGCTTACACTGCTTGAGACCCAAGCCTGGCCTTTCTCTTGATTTCTGAAGAACCTATTATAATTCAAACTGTCAGCGAGGTTCAGCTGAGAAATATCAGAATAACTAGATTTGTCTGGAAATTGTCTGGAAAGGCACAACAGGAAAAGAGAAGAAATTAGTAATTTCCATGTTAGAGGAGTGTTGAGCTGAAGTTCATGGAAGGCTGAACCAGCTAAACCGGCTAAAATCCCTCTCAGCCATGATCATTTTCCATAGAGACCAGGTGTTGGCCAACATAGACTGAATTAGCATTGGCTTATTGCTATGTCCAAATAGCTTGGCTTTATTTATTAACACAGGGTCGTTTCGACTTTAAATACCATGTGTGTTGGTCAAGTTCAAACCAGCTAGGCAAAATGCCTTATGAAATGAATATTTTTACAAAAGGGAAAAAGACTTGTCTGTTTATGCAAGGTAATTCTGTCTGCCGCTTGAAATCTCTCCGGGAACTTCAAGGGGGCACGGCTCTGTTTGGTTATCCTGTTATCCTGTGTTACCATGGAAAATGAAATTGCGATTTGACCTTTGAAATAGCAAAGAAGAATTATGCCCATTCTCAACTTCATTAAGAACTATTGATTACCAAGTAGCGTAATGCTAACGTTTTTCTGCAGGCCATATTTGCAGCCCTGTGACATGACAAAACTGGAACGCTCCCCCTATAATGAATGAAGCTGTTTTTACTGTAGGATAGTCAGTATATGAAGAACTGGCTATATGCTAATTCTGTGTTTAAAAAAAACTTTCTGGCAGTCTCTGCCTATAAATTTGGAAATCTTAATTACAACATGATGTGTAATAAAGTGATTTTGCATGGAATAAATTCGATGCGTTGGCCAATTTAGCCTTTTTTTTCATTTCTCAACCATACAGGACGGTTTTAGCATTAGTGCAACAAAATGAAGAGAAACTGACATGCATTAGTCGTTTGTTTTATACTTATATAAACAGCTAAATTTGCATTTTTTTTTAAATCAGCTTGTCCCTGATCTTCATCAACAGAACACCAAATGTGTACAAACTAAATGGTACCATCAACATTCACAATTGCATGTTCAATAACAATTGGCTTCATCCATTAATTCTATAGTTAACAACTCGGAAAGCGAGAGCATAAAAATGTTTCTCACTGGTAATTGTGACTTTATGGTGTTGTTTAGATGCTTTCACTCAATACAATCATTCCATCATGACTAGAACACAGCAAGAGACCAAAGAAACTGTTCATGAAAACACTCAACTAATCAAATAATTTCCCCTTCAGTCCAAATAGAAAGCAAAAAACCTGGAATTACAACTACACTCTGGCATTTTTAATGTCTCTGTCCTTACAATGTTTTTCACATGATTCCCAGAATTCCAAATGAGTTTCAACACAATCACAATATGTGCTCTTTCACAATTGTTTTGCATGTGGATGAATAGTGGATTTCCTTTTTAATACTTTACCAGTTTGAACAGTGACACAAAGTTTTACTGCCTTCATCAAATTATGTTTCTAAATGTCCTTTACATTATATATTACGTGACATCATATAACCAAAGCTCTAAATAGTTTCAGTTTTCCAATTAGCTGTTAGCTTAGCAAACCACCAACTAGTTAGCCTGCTAACCTGTCATACTACACAGAGTTTAGCAAAAGGATAAAAAGAAAAGTCATAATGTAACCAGTTATTTGATCATAATTTACAAACAGCTGCTCCTTGAGGTCTAAGGATAGAATTTGTGAAGAATTATGTTAGAATTTGTGAGATTATAGGATGTATTAATAAATAAATAAGTATAGCAGTACACTCTTAAAAATAAAGGTGCTTCACGATGCCATAGAAGAACCTTTTTGTCTAAATGGTTCCATAAAGAACCTTCAACATCTGAAGAACCTTTCTGTTTGACAAAAGGTTCTTTGTGGCGAATAAAGGTTCTTGAGATTATAAAAAGGTAAGAAAGAGATGGTTCTTTAAAGAACCTTTGACTGAATGGTTCTTTGTGGAACCAAAAATGGTTCTTCTATGGCATCGCTTGAAGAACCTTTTGAAGCACCTTTATTTTTAAGAGTGTACATTGTTGAATTAAAAGAATATATTCAGTTATTATTTTTGTTTATTATTATCATTATTATAATACTATTTATCATTATAGATTATAATGATCAGTGACGGAACATTTATTTGAGCTACAAAACAGCAATTTTCCCCCCATGTGGTAATGGTCAAGTGAATCTTGCATAATTATCATTATATGTTTCTTTTATGTATTCCTGATGTCCTGTGCTATTTTGCTAATAACTGTAATGTATACTGCATTGCTAAAATGTTGTAGTATACAAGTGACTTCTGGACAAGTAAATAATCAGTTTTACTTCTCTGAAAGACACATACCTGGAAAAGCTTAACGTTGAGCCCTGCATTGTGGCTTTTAGATCTGGCCTCCAGATATTTAGGTCATTTAAACTTGCTTGTAAACACACTGAAAACAAGGAGGGGAGGGGTGAAATTCCTTAGCCATGTGTTTTTGTGTAACCTGATTTTCTGGCACACACTGAAAACATTACTTGGGTCCTTTGACAAGTCAGTGGAAGAAAAAAAACTGTTTTTTAACTTTGGAGAGCATGTGGTCTGACATGCCAGCATGAGTGGGCTCATATGAGGTTGTTTATCGCTCTCTCTCTCTCTCTCTCTCTCTGCAGATTATCCATGAACCTCCACCACCAATAGTGGAAGATAGTTCGGTAAGAATTTTATTTTTTTTGTAATGATCTGTACAATGTCTAATTAAGTAGTATTGCACTTGCATTTGTGTTGTCATACTGTGATCTGGTCATAGGCACAATACATTTCAGACAAAAACTGGCCAGTGTGTTCATTTGTTTCTTACTCACCAACAAAAATATTGTCAAAAGAAGCTGAAGCATCAAGCTTTGCTTGTCACGAAGCAGCACACAGACTGAAAGCTGGTCTGGAACAGCATATCAGTGGAGTGGAGTGCAAGAGATTTCCCATTTCCGTTCGAAGCTTTCCATAATCACTCCGCTGCTCACATATTCTGGTCTGAAAAGCAATGAGCACGGACGAGCGGAGTGATGTGAACTGTGAAATCCTAGTGCTGTTATACTACACTTTATCGTGGCTTTCTGGAAAACTGGAGTCTGATTGGTCAATTGCAGAATTGCATACATCTTGTAGATGGCTAGAAGATCAGAAGTTCCCAGTTAAAGCAAGGAAATGATAATTCCTCACACAAGAACCCAGTAAAATTCTGCGTTCATGCCATGCCGTGATTACTAGACAACAATTCTACTTGGAGCTGTTTACATCCTCCGACTTAGAATGATCTGTTTCTATGACAACACTAATAATGGCAAAATAAATCTGTGTAATATGAGTAATCAATAGATTAAAAAAAACATGATACAAGTAACAGTCATTATGCAAATGTCTCATTAATGAACATTTCAAGTTTACTTGGCTTATTAAGCTGGACTTCAGGCAGTCGTTTTCCAACTCTGTGCTAGCCACATTAAACTGTATTGAATGTGTTGTAATATTTTTATTATTGTAAGATTAATTTGACATGTTACTGCTGGAGCCGCTTGCAGTTTGAGTGTTTCCGCAGGACGCAGTGGTCAGGCAGTAGAAGTTTACAAGATTAGTCACAAGTTCTGCAAGGACATGAAAGCTTTTTATTAGCCGAAATCTCAAAATTATGGTAATTCTGACATGGTGTGAATGCATCCAGAGACACAGAGACAGATAAGAGAGAACTTAATGGACGACAAGTAACTTGGATTGCAGATGACTAATAATACATCAATTATTACTGAGAAAATGTGCCAGTGTTCGTCTGGTTGCTATAGGAAGTTTCCTACATTACAATGGACTGTTTTTATTGGCGAAAGATTTAAGTTAATCTGTAAGTAAGATAATAAATATCCTGGTAAGCAGCCGTGTAATATGCGGGATAATGTATAGTCAGCTGGTCATTATCGCTTAAATAAACCCAGACATGACTGTGATGTTATGCAGAGGGGTTTTGTATCACCATAAAGGGGTTTATTTTGTGATAATAACCGTATGACTGCACAGTATATCTGAAAACGTGTTGGTACTATACTATGGGAACTACAAGAGTTCACCAGATTACCTTGCAGCATTTATAGTGATTTTCTTCTTTAACTCTTGTTTATCTTGGATTAGACTTAATCCTTGTTTATTGAAACAATCCCTGAGATCTCATTGTCCAAACATGAAAAACAAAAAAGCTTATTAAGATTTGGATGTTATTTTGTAATGATGTTATTCTGATTTGAAACTCTTTCTAAAGGTCAGAATGTTTCAACTATTTAACAGGAACTTTGGGAGAGTCTTTGGATTCCATAAAACTCTCCAGATCTTTGTAGGCTGTTGTTTAACCACTCTGTCTCTGCTCCGCTAAAATGAATTAGTTCAGTCTGGCCTTATTAAAGACCTGTAATATGATAGCATATTTTTATAAATCTTTCATCAGTGATGTCACTTTTGTAAGTCCATAGGAATGTCATACGTGGAATGGCTGTGGGTTGGGGAAATTTCCCTAAAGGTTTCTTTAAGTTATGCTAAAGTTTCAGGATATAAAATATGTGATGGGGAATCAAGTGGGTGGTCAAATTAAAATATGAAGCATGGGGATGGCTGTTAAAACTTTTTGATTAAGTATGGACGCATTGATAAAAAGATGTCTGTTTAAATCTCGTGGACTGATTGTTAAACAGGGTTAAATTTCCTCAGAGCTGGAAAAATAAAGTCATAACTTGAGTGAGCCTATTTGGACTTATGTTATTGGATCAGGAAGAGCTATAGGGAGGGCGTAAGCATGGCTCATGCCTTTCTGAGTGGCAATAAATGAAAAAGTCATGTTTTAAAGGAGTGAGTCACACCTCATTTAGGAAAATACTCCACCATTTGAATAAGACCCCAAAAATATGTTCTTGGAACAAACAAAACATCTTTACAATAAGTGTTATTGTTTCAGTCAAGAAAATGTGAATAAAAGTTCTCAACATAGAGACAGATTTTACATTGGACATTTGGCAACCCAACATAGTGCAAAATCTGTAACATCTGCTTAATATGGTCTGGGCCGCATTTTGTTTTAGCTTCACACTTAAAAATAAAGGCTCCATAAGGGGTTTTCACAGCCGAACCATATTCGGTTCCCCAAAGAACCTTTCAGTGATCAGTTCTTAAAAGAACCATTTTTTTCTTAGTGTGAAGAACATTTTAAAAAAATCTAAGAACCTTTCTCCACTATAAATAACCTTTTGTGGAATGGATGTTAGGTTCTTCATGGAACCATCGATGCCAATAAAGAAACGTTATTTTTCAGAATGTTGTGTAGTTTTATGGTCCAACAGTTAAGAACCATTGGGCTCTATTTCAGTCACAATTTCATTGTCTCTTTGTTTGCTCTATAAGGATGATGAAGAGGATGGAACTCCGAAGAAGAAGTGGCCCACAGTCGACGCGTCCTACTATGGAGGAAGAGGAGTTGGCGGCATTAAAAGAATGGAGGTAAACAACAGTTTTATTACTCGCTGGAGGGCACCAGCCACTAAATTAGCACACGCTCAGTCTCTTAACAGATGTTTTTCATCCAGAGGAAGAGGGCTGTATCTCTGAAGGAACACAGGGTTAACTGTCTTTCTTAAGGGTGATGGATTCTGTAAGTAAATCTCCAGTTGACAGTTTGCCCCTACTTGGAATGAAACCACTGTTGTTTACATTGCATGCCAAGAGACTTCAGCACGTCATAATTGAAGTCAGCGATGAAAATGCCACAACTGTCAAGTCAAGTCAACTTTATTTATATAGCGCTTTTAACAATACAGATGAAGAAAAACAGGAAACACTGAAGGGAAAGTAAAATGTTTGTCAAATGCATTGATTCGCAAAAGTATGCTTGAAATAAACAATCTGCTATGCAAAAAAATGCCATGACAAAAACAAGGGAAAAAACGGTTTAAGCCAGCATAAGGTGGTCTGTTGGTCTTAGAAGGTCTAGGGCAGGGGTGCCCAAACTCGGTCCTGGAGGGCCGGTGTCCAGCAGAGTTTAGCTCCAACCCCAATTAAACACACCTGAACCAGATAATCAAGCACTTATAGGCTTACTAGAAACTTACCAGCAGGTGTGTTGAGGCAAGTTGGAGTTAAACTCTGCAGGACACCGGCCCTCCAGGACCGAGTTTGGGCACCCCTGGTCTAGGGTTTAAAATGGTTTTGGACACTGGAGCTCGCTGACCAGCTAAAGCGCCTGAAGACTAGCTTGACTAGGCTGGGAGACAACCTTTAGCAAACAACCTTTGGCGTGTTTCATCAAACGGCTGCCAGTAAAGTACCAGAGTTTACAATCACAGCAAGACAGTGTTTACAAGAGAGGGAAACAAGTGTGCGTGCATTATACAGCTCATCTGCTGTTTGGAATCCTTCCTTCTGTCAAACATTCTGCCTCAATTACCAGCAGTGCAGAGTTTGCAATGTGATTGTCACAGAAAATACCTGTCCATAAATATTTCTGTTTGAGAAAACATCATGAAATACACATAGTTTTTATACTACTGAGTTCACCTTGAAAATCCTTTGAGTTTGTTTTTCCATTTGTACCTGGAAAGGATTCTGAAATGCTGATAACAGAAAGGTTATGATGTAAAAATGAAGAAATATTTTGGAGTAAAATTCATGTGCACTTCTTTATACAGAAGGTCAAATGCTCTTGCCTCCATTGAAGCTCTTTGGATCATTGTCAAGTCATGCTCGCCATCTCCTTCATTTCAGGTTCGCTGGGGTGAGAGAGGTTCGACCGAGGAGGGTGCTAAACTGGAAAAGGCGAAGAACGCGAGGGTAAAGATGCCTGAGCAAGAGTTTGAAGCTCCTCCTGCTCGCATCCTAAATAATGGCATGCGGAAACCTCCAGGCCCTCGTAAATGGTACTCGCCCATTAAGGTGAGAAGAACAATAGTGTACTCTCAGGGTACACACGCTAACTAAAACTCAAAAGAGTAACACTTTAGTTTAGGGACCAATTCTCACTATTAACTAGTTGCTTATTAGCATGCATATTACTAGCATATTGGCTGTTTATTAGTACTTATAAAGCAGATATTAATGCCTTATTCTGCATGACCATATTTTAGAGCCCGTAATTTTACCACATACCTAAACTTAACAACTACCTTAATATCTATTAATAGGCAGCGAATTAAGAGTTTATTGAGGCAAAGTTGTAGTTAATAGTTAGTGAGAACTGGTCCCCAAACTCAAAAAACTCAAAAGTATTTTGTGTCCAGTATCTTCAAATGATGATTAAGAAATGGCAAATAATGATTAAATTTGGATAGCTGATAGGAAAAATGTATGAGAAGTTGACTTATTGTGTGGTGTGACGTGCTAAGCTACTAAAGAAAACTATTCAAAATTATACAACATATATATACATAATAAATAACATAAGAAATAGCACATAATAAATACATGAATATATAAGTTCAAATATTTAAAATTTAAAATATTTAATTTGTGTTCCATTGAGTTGAACACTAAATCTGAGTTCCAATTCAGGGGCTGCTTCCTTAGAAGGACACAGACTTTGAAGGCCAGACGTTGCCGCCTAGCAACTGTGACAGCTGCCGTTGACGAGTGGCTGTAATGTTTGTACTGGATTATTTTTTAATTATATTTGATATTTTCGAAATTAGATATTCAAATAAGCTGAAACCCAATACTTAGAGTTAAAAGTGTAATCAGCATGCACTCTCAAAAATAAAACCGAATAAAAATGAAGGAGCCTGCACATTGGGACAGCCTTATGCCTGGTTCAGACTACACGATTTTAACCCGATTTTGCCACAATTTGCTTGATGTAGGGTGTCGTGGGGATTCGTAAACGACAATGGGCGTCGGGACGCAAGATTTCATCATTTCAGCACGTGTAGTGTGTCATAGTGGACGACAACCGATTCCGCGTCTGCGATTCCGAAAAAGACCAGCATGTTTAATTTTTTTTTCCGTCGTCCACGACGAGTTCTGTCACATTGGTGACGTTGACCAATAGCAGCACAGAAGTTCTTTCATACACTGGTTTCAAACATGGCAAAACGAAAGAGAGATGATGGTGCTGCTAGGTGGAATTATGAGATGGAGGAAAGGTTCGTGGAGCTGTGGCAACAGTACTCCTGCCTGTATGATGTGTCATCGAGGGACTACCACGACAGAACAAAGAAAGAAAAATGCTGGCGAACTATAGTGGAAGCTCTTCAGCAATGCTTACACTCTTGTTTTCGGAAGTCAGTCGCTACTTCCGCCTTCTCGATGACATCACGCGCGTCGTTAAAGACAGCACACGATGAACGGTCGGGAAGCAACGTGTAGTCTGACATGTTTCTTGTCCACGACATGACAAGATTTTAGGAGTCAAAATCGTGTAATCTGACACAGTGACTATCGTGACCGGCAAAAATATCATGTAGTCTGAACCCAGCGTTAGTCGTGCTGCTGTGAAGCATTCAGTCTTGGAATTTCACCTTTGAAGGATGCAGCCTCTGAATTGTGATGCAGCTAAGACTAAAGATGACACTAATTCTGTTGACAGTTAAACATGAGCAGCCCCCAACCATGCAGTTCTCCTGCTGAATTAATGCGTAAAAACATGGCTTAAGATGTCAGTGCTTATAATCAATCAGCTTGGGGATTCGTAATATAGACCAGAAACTGTTGTGACCTCCAAGAAACTGTGCCTGTGGAGTCAGCACTTTGTTACTCTCAAAACCAGGTTTCCCTCATTTCACCTCTCTCCACTCGCTCACTTTAATAGATCTCACTGTCCAGGAGCTCAGAGCATTGCCAAAACTTTTTCCCCCCGTAGTTCGTTCTTTTATTCTGTGTATCTTTATTTTAAATATTTATTTATTTCCTTTATTTGTTCATCTCTGTATCTAATGTATCTCCCCGGTTTTTATTTGTGGGGGGAAGAGTCAATGTGACCAGTATGTGCCACTTTTTGTAATCCAACTTTACATTTAAATCTTCCAAAATCCCCTTCTGTTCTTTCTTTCACCCGTTCATGTTCTCTATTCCACCTCTTCTTGACAGCAGACAGCAGCAGCTCTTGTGCAATGAGGGTCGGCTGTCTTTATTAGGAAGTTGGATCGAGGCTGAGGGACATCAGAATTCTGTTGTATATTCATAACCGTGGAGCAGATAGCAAAGCATTGATTCATTCTAAACTGTGGCTTTGAGATTTATCCGTCTCATATAGTGCGCCAGAGAGGCCACATGTGGGGTGTTGAGTTCAGGAAATCTCTTTGTTAATATAATCTATTTCTCAGAGTTTAGTGACTGAACAATGTGAGGAACAAGTTCAGTCACAAACCCTGAAGGTCAGTGAAGACCCATGAAGACTTGAATCATACAGAAAACAGACAGTTTATACCAGAGCTGTCCAATACCGCTCCTGGAGGGCCAATGTCCTGCAGATTTTAGCTCCGACACACTTGCTTGGAAGTTTCTTGTGAGTCTGAAGAGCTTGATTAGCTGATTCAGGTGTGTTTAATTAGGGTTGGAGCTAAACTCTGCAGGACAGTAGCCCTCCAGGAACAGATTTTATTAATAGACAAACACATATGCTTGCTTTTTTTCCATCTTAATTTTTGTGTTTTTGGTGTTTGTTTGTGCTGATGCGCAGGGAAAACTAGATGCATTGTGGGTACTTCTGAAGAAAGGGTATGCCAGAGTGTCTATCATGCGACCACAACCTGGAGACAAGGTAAGACTCTTTAGTCTTGATGTATAAAAATGCATTATGTATATGTATATGTATAACTAAATTATAAAAAATATATAATAATAATAATAATAATAATAATATGCATATACAGTAGTGCATTCAAGATTACATGTAAGACTTGAATGCACTGTATGCAACTTTGAAGAAACAAACAACAATAAATAAATAATATAAATAAATAAATAAAAATGTAAATATATATATATATATATTTACATTTTTATTTATTTATTTATATTATTTATTTATTGTTGTTTGTTTCTTCAAAGTATATATATATATATATATATTTGCCAAATGCACTATTGGTTTGTTTTCTATGGATGACGTCTGTTGAGTTTTGTGGCTTTTTTGTCAAGATAAAAGTAAAAAAAAAAATGCATAGCAACTTAGCAATAATTATTGCATAGCATGTTATTTTTTTTTTTTTTTTTTTTTTTTTTTTTTTTTTTTTTTTTTTTTTTAAAAAAAAAAAAAATGGCTTTTTTGTCAAGATAAAAGTAAAAAAAAAAATGCATAGCAACTTAGCAATAATTATTGCATAGCATGTTATTTTTTTTTTTTTTTTTTTTTTTTTTTTTTTTTTTTTTTTTTTTTTTACTTATTTTTATTTATTTAATAAAAAAAGTAAATTTGCGACTTTTCAGACAATTCATAAATTGTGAAAAGATAAAAAAGACAATTCTGAATTGTGAAAGATAAATTGCAAGAAAAAAAGTCTTTGTTTCTGCTACAGAAATAAAAAAATAAAATAGCAATTGTGAAAATAAGCTTTGATAAGATTCCTCACAGGCCCTGTTTGATACTGAAAATCAGTGGACTTGCAGATGAAATTCGTTCTATTCATTGACAGTAGAGTAATTTTTTGAGTGTGGAAACATATGAACAGATATGTGTAGAATGATGTGAGGTTTAATCACTATGAAGGAAAAACAGTTGGGATATGAGGATTTGGATATACGGACATACAGTACTCTATACACTATATGAGTAGCTTATAGCTTGCAGTGGTATTCATTTCCACTTTTAAAGATGGCCATGTCTTTGATATGTTCACCAGCACAATGACTCTAAAGCTTATAAAAGATCTTAACTTACTCTTCTTGATCCATTTTCACAGCCCAACAGAGCAATCTGCTAAATCGCTATTATAACTGTCAGTTAATTCAATATGACTTGGCTTTACTGAAGTGATGAAAAGCAGAAATGAAAAGACGAATACAGCACTATTCCACAGCTTGATAGGAAATGAAAACCAGCCTCACACTGATGGAGCTTTACACAGAATAGATATAGACAACCAAGACCTTTGTTCAGTTCAGTTTTAAAGAGTTTTTTTTTTATTTCTCAAGCTATATGTATGAGGAAAAAAATATTTTGTGTTCCACATAGAAATAATATCATACGGTCTGTAACAGCATTAGGGTTCAATAAATGATGATAATATTTTAGTCAACATTGCCAAAAAAAATCTATCATGAACATTAATGACAAATGCTGCAGTTTGACTTGGCCTCCTCTCTATAGCATGTATTTGCTTTCACTCGCTGTTTCTTTTTTAACACTCTTTTATCCTTGCCTGAATGGAGAACAACAACAGACCCAAGTGTAAAAGCCCACCTGTTGCATGCTGCGTCTCCTGGACTAAGCAAATAAACTGAGGAAATGCATATCAAATATCCCAAATGGCAATGAGATTTGCATGAAATGAAATACAAAGTTCTTTAGGGTGAACTCGTATGTTATTTCTTACTTATGCAAAGGATGATTTGACTATAAAGTTGATGGCAGGTCACATCCACTGAGAGAAAGGGCTCATTTAAGGACAGGATGCAGTACTGAGTGCTTTTCATGGTCTAATTGTCAGGGTTGGTTGCAGGATCAGCAAGGAAGAGTTGAGGCGAGGATCTATTAGCATCAAATGCAATTTATTTACAAGACTAAATAATATACAAGAGAACAAGAAAACTAGAAAGACAGAAACCAACATAATACTTGCCAAGAACAGACAATGAATTACGTTTTTTCTTTGCTTTTTTGAAAAGTTTGACGTACAGATGACAATTGAACAACTCAAAGTGATCCCCGTTTATACGGATCCGCAAAAACAACTAAAAACGCTGCATTATGTATGCCAGGCCAGTAGTTGGCGATGTCACTTTGTAAAGAAATGCGCCTGCACACATTCCTATAGACTGAATACATAGTATGCATACGCATGACATCACCATTTTCACAAATTTGCGTTTTTGTAGTTTACACAGAGATAATGGTATCGTTTTCAAAAGTTTGAGTTTTCAGGACCCCAAAATGCTGTTGTTGTGTAAACAAACAGCCAAAAGACATAAAAATATTTAAGTTTTTAGTTGAAAACTGTGTCATGTAAACACCCCCTGAGAAACCATGGAACCTAATGACATGAGGGCAAAACACAGGAATAGAACGTCTCGGTTACTTGTGTAACCCTCGTTCCCTGAAGGAGGGAATGGAGACGTTACATCAGTCGTGACTGACGAATGGGGACCTCACCCGAGACCTTTCGAGTGTAAACTAAACAAGCCAATGACAGCTGGCGTGCGTGTTTCGCCACGCGCACCCCGCCCCGCAGCACGGGTATAAAAGGAGAGCGCGTGCAAATGCACATCAGTTTTTCGCTGAGGAGCCGAGACTACGCACCCTGGCCATACAGCGGTGGTACAGCAACTGTGGCGACGGAACGTAACATCTCCGTTCCCTCCTTCAGGGAACGAGGGTTACACAAGTAACCAAGACGTTCCCTTTCAGTCAGTCACGTTCTACGTTACGTCAGTCATGACTGACGAATTGGAATCCGTATGGAAAACGCCACTATTGCTGACCCCCTCCAGTGCCCTGCGGAAGCCGGCAAGCCCCCCCACACCAGCTGGGGTGGAAGATAGGACAGCGGCTAGGCAGAGGTGTCCGCCACTGCTGTTCCATACAGTGGTGCATTGGATAACACTGGGAAAGCGTACCCAGTTGGGAACGCTATGGAAGCCACATCCTGCGCACAGGAGGTATCATATGAAATTACACATATGGACTGGCCCAGGGCAGTGCTACATATGGAAGTCCCTGTGGTAGACTCAACCTGCCAGGGGTGAGATGACTACGCAGCAGATATGCCAGTGAACGACTGCCAGGGAAAGACACAGGCTTACCGTGAGGAGAGCCGTACCGTGGAAGAATACACATGTGGGATCACCCGAAGGGGGAATCACTACACACGGGCACCTAGCACAGCACAAGGGCTGACCTTGGGCATGCACACGAGTGCTGAACCTGGCGTCTGGCGCTCCGCCACGCCTGACTGCCGAGGGTGCGGAAGGAACTCCAACAGGGTTCGCCATGGGGAACTGAACTGAGAAGCAACAATGCGCACATATTGCACGCTTGCAAGTTCACAACCTGATCCCTGAAGGCGTGGTGGGAACTTTGGGCACATATCCAGGCCGGGGTCTCAGGACAACGTGAGAGTTACCCATTCCGAATTCTAGGCACGAATCATCGACCGAAAATTCCTGCAGGTCCCCTAACCTCTTGACTGAGGCCAATGCGGTATGATCTTTAATGACAGAACTTTAAGCTCTACTGACTGCAGAGGCTCGAAGGGCTCCTCCTTCAAGGCCGTCAGGACCGAGGGGAGATCCCAAGAGGGTAACAGGTGAGGGCGTGGAGGATTTAACTTCCTTGCCCCTCTGAGAAACCTGATGACCAAGTCGTGCTTCCCCAAAGACTTACCGTCTACTGCCTCGTGATGCGCGGCAATGGTGGCAACATACACCTTAAGGGCGGAGGGAGACAGCCTTCGCTCCAACCCGTCCTTCAGGAAAGAAAGCACGACTCCGATCGGGCATCTACGGGGGTCTTCCCGGTGGGAAGGCTTTCAGCCTGTAAGCGTGTCTAGTAGATGGGGCTCTAGTTGAAGTGATGGTGTTTACTACCGCTGGAGGTAGCCCACCTAGAACCTCCACGTCCCGTCCAGGGACCATAAGTGGAGATTCAACAAGTCTGGACGCAGGTGCCAGAGGGTGCCCCCTCTCTGAGAAAGGAGATCCCTCCTCAGAGGAATTTGCCAAGGAGGGGCTGTCGCGAGGAGCATCAGTTCGGGGAACCAAGTCCGACTGGGCCAGTATGGCGCTACCAAGAGAACCTGCTCCTTGTCCTCCCTGACCTTGCACAATGTCTGTGCGAGAAGGCTCACTGGGGGAAACGCATATTTGCGTAGGCCGAGAGGCCAGCTGCACGCTAGTGCGTCCGTGCCGAGGGTCCCCTCGGCCAGGGAGAAAAACAACTGGCAA